AAAAATTTGGGTAAGAGTTTAAACAATAAAAAGAACAATTTCTTTATGTAAATCATTTAAATTAGCTACAGTTGATATATTGCTTTATTTTGATTATCATCAGAAATCTTAAAAACTTCAAAACTGCACTTTGCTTGGTATTAAATACACTTGTCATAATTGGGTTCTGAAAAATTATAAAATATGCATCTCATTGTTTGGCTCTGAAGAGGAATAAATGAGAAAATTTTCGAAATATTTTAAATGCCATTATAATGTAACCCAGGAAAGTTCAATTATGCCAAAGAAAAAAAATTAGTCAAATAAAATTAAATACCATTTTTGATGGAAATTAAATTTTAGGGTTTTTAATACTTGTGTGAAAAAGCATTTTTTCAGGAAATTTCAAATAAAAATCTGTTTATTTTTTTTTAAGTAGGTACCTCCATGAAAACCCTAAAAAATCAGCATAATGAGATGAAAACATACTCCAAACGTAATAAAAACCTGGTTTTATCAAAATTTTTGTTATTATTAAGAGGAAGGATCAAAGTATTTTTTGAATATTTAATGAAATTTTTTACTCCTTTTTAGAACATTCGCAATTTTGATTAAAAAAAACAAAAAAAAAAATGATTTTTCTTGTGTCAGTGGTTGTACTAACTTTTAGCATAGCAAATTTTAACCTCTTTTTTGCAGTGACAAATTGATTTGTAAATGCTTACAAAAATCAAATACTTTTTGGATTCTAATTAGATTTTCAGGACTTATTCACAAATGAATGAAATTATTTTTTAGAAAATATTGGTAAAAATTTTTTTTTTTTTTTTTTACATGTTACCTTCCACTTACTTAATTTTATGAAAACTTGACTAATTCAATATGGTAATTTTTAGTGATTATATTAGTTAAGAGCAGAAGTCTTTGAAGAATTTAAATCAACTAAGAAATTATTTAATTAGAGAAGCTTTTGACTGCTTTTATGAATAATATATATTAAAGATAATATTGTCTGAAGGAGAAAAAATTTTTTTTCAATAAAAATGAATTTTTACACAATTTCTCATTTTTTACAATTTTAAAATGAATAATTTATAAAGTTTTAAATCTTTTAAAATTCATTTTCAATGTGATAGAATTTTATTTATTTATTTTTTTTACAGTAAGGTTCACCTTGTACAAGGCCCAGGAGCTACTCAAGATACAGCGTTACAATAAGGGGTAGTTTATATGGATAGGAGAGGAAGGTAACAGTTGACTCTAGACTTGAACAGATTAAGTTTGTAGTGATTGGGGAAACATCCTCTAGGGAGTCTGTTCCATAGGACAGTGGTTTGTGGGAAGAAGCCGGAACTTACTTCTTGTCGATGGAATATGGAGCTAGTGTGGGTGGTTTGCTACTATGTAAGTGATATGGTGGGTTCTAGCCATGAAGATATGACCTGGTGCAACCAGGAGATGCAGTTCGTCCAAGCAATTTCCAGGGTAGTAGCAATAGAGTAGTGAGACACTAGTCACATCCTGCCTGTGAGAGGTTGGAGAATGGAAAATAATTCTTCTCTCACAAGGACTGAGAGATGCTTTTGAACTTTATCGAGATTGGAAAGTTAGGTCTTGGCAGCTCCTGCCCAAATATGGCAACAATACTCCATTTTTGGCCTGATCTGGCTCTTATAAAGGTAGATGATAGCATAAGAAGTCAGATACTTACTGTAGTGGTAGAGGGACTCAATCATTTTACCTGCATCTTTAGCAATGGATCATGTACTTGAGGTCAAATGTGAGTTTGAGGCCCAGTTTCCTCTCAGAGCACATGGCGTCCTCATGTTCATCATGACTGGTGGCAGTTTGGAGTCTGATTGGCAGTGATAAAATGTAACCAGTTTGGTTTTATAGGCATTGAATGTAACCAGCGAGTTTTTTCCATTGAGAAGATAGTGTTAGATCAAAAGAGAGGTCAGCTGCCAATCTCTGATCATCAAGACTTTTAGAGGTGCACTTGCATATTATTGTATCTCTGGCATAAATTACAAAATTATTAGAGTATATTCTTAGGTAGCCATTTTGACACATTTGTAAACAAAAGTTAATTCTGTTTTAAAAATCTTGCAAAAATATATTTCTGAAACATTATTTGAGGAAAATTGGCAAATTTAAAGTAAAGTTAATTTGATTTGAAACATTACTTTTAGCATAAAATATTGTATGCAAGTATTTCTTGACCACGGGGTCTTTTTTTTTTTTTTTTTTTTTTTTAACGTGTTAATCAATTTATTGACAGCTGATTCTGCCAAACATGTTCATAATTAGATATCTCAAAGGCCTTTGACAAGGTGTGGCACAAAGATTTGCTGCACAAGCTCTCCAGCTATGGAATCACTGGAAGGGTTTTCTATGAAATGTTATTTGAGGGAAATTAGCAAATTTAAAGTTGAATTAATCTGATTTGAAAAAATATTACTTATAGCATAAAATATTACATACAATCATTTTTTAACGATGGTGTTTTGTTTTTCTGACATGTTGACAGCTGATTGGCTCCTGAACATGTTCATATTTAAGTATGGTGGAGCAAATGATAAATTTTATATGAGGGTTCCCCACCCCCCATAAGTAGGGGATAACCTTTAAATCAAATGACCTTTTAATGACAATGTTATAAGCTTGGATTTCCATACTTTGAAATTCTGCATGTATATCACACATATAAAAACAAATCGAAAGTCTTTTTAAAAATATTCAGGTTCGTCAGATTGTAATAAGCTTTACAATATATGATTAGTAAATATAGTTTTACTTAATATTATTTTCTAAGAGTTGAATATGAATTTTAAGATTTAAAAATTTTATAAATTATTCAATTTAAAACTGCAAAAAATGAAAATAGATCTTGTAAAAATTCATTTTTCATTGCAAATTTTTTTTCTTCATGCAATTCATAAAACAATTCTCTAATTAAATAAAGTCTTAGTTTTATTGTTTACTTTTCAATTCAGAACAGATTTTTGATGGTCTGATTTTGGAAAAAAAATATTGGTGATTTAAATTCTTTAAAGAATTCTGCTTTTAACTAATAGTCATTAAATTATTGGTAAATGTATATTGTAACACCCGAGCGCTAATATCCCTTCAAATTTTTCCAAAAAAGTCTTAATTCCGTGCAAATGTATATGCTTAACTCAAATCAACAATTAGATATTAAAGAAACCTACCTTTTTGGATGTTAACGACCAGAAATAATTGGACTTCTTCTCGCTCTTCTTGTCATACATTACGGCCTTATTGAGAGACATTCGCTGCTGAACCATTTCGCGCACTTATACAATTTTGGCCTAATTACTCCCTCAACGAAATTAATACGCGTTTTTTTTTTTTTTAAATTTAAGTAAAGTTAACTTTTAACTTTCAAGTTTAGATTTTACTTATTTTTTTAAGAAGAAAGTTAACTTTCAAATGTATGAAAATATAAAGTAATTTTCAAATGTATGAAAATAAGTAGTTTTTACTTAATTTTTTAAGAAGAAAGTTAACTTTCAAATGAAAATATCGACAAATAAAAGAATAACAAAGTAATTTTCAAATGTATGAAAATAAGTGATAAGTGTACTTTTTAAAGAAGAAAGTTAACTTTCAAATATATGAAAATATCGACAATTAAAAGAATAACAAAGTACTTTCAAATATATCAAAATATCGATGAAAATACTTTATAAATTATAAATAACAAAAAGAACAAAATAAGTAGGACAGTAAAGCATTTTTTAATATTATACATTGAAAATAAAAAAACAATAATTAAATCAATTGTAAGAGGAAGTTTAAAAGCTTGGAAAAAAATGACATTGACAATTTAAAAACAAATGCAATATAGATGTCTATAACGAAGTAGGTCCTGGATACAGTCTGCTCGCCTCTCTCAGGAAAATGTGAAGGCGCTGACTATGTTTAGGGACTGCTTTTAAGAATAAAAAAACGAGCAATGTATTGTTTTAAATACAAAGTTCTGTGTCCTGATAATTACATCCTTAGTCGTTCTCCATAGTCTTTTCAACCGTCTGCGTGTGGATAGTTTGATCTGTTGGATGTACAAAAGTGTTCAGAATGGTTGATTTGTTTTGTACCATTGTTCTGTTATCTGTTCGACCAGCAATCACTGTAATGTGATTGATCCTGGTCGGATGTGTTGCATAATCAAGGAAACAAGGGTATGGGCATCCTAAACTTCTCCTTCCCCCGTAATTGTAAAAAAAGTGGTACCAAAAAGGTCTTCTTGAGACTCTTTCGATCCCGCCTAAATAGCCAGACCGTTTTCATTTCTGTCCCGGTTATATTTTCTGGGTTGATAACTGTTTCGTCGATTTCTACCTCAACACCGGTCCACCCAACTTCTCCTGCACATTTTCCAGCCAAAACTGGTACACCCTCACTGCATTGCCAATTCACTGAAGGACTTTCGTAATGTCCAAGTTTTGAACATTATCCTGTGGCACCAGCTAAGATCAAGGAAATGTGTTACAAAAGTAACTTTCCAAGGGTATCAAAAGTGTATTTTTCCTATCACTAACACTGAAGTCACATTCTGATCCGCTGTTAGGACGATTGAACTGCTAGGACCGGAGACAGGTTTTCTGCAACGCCATACTTTCTGGTTGGCACAATAAACCCAGCAAGGTGAATGGCATCGAGGGCATTCCACGGAGGACGGTAATATTCCGTGTAGTCAAAGAAATTCTACTGAAGCCTCTTCATTCATTCGGAAGCGTTGAATTGTTTGAATACATAGTGATCAAACAATTGAAGCAATTGGAGATTTCTGCAGTAGCGTGTAGTGTTGATGAGGATGTGGACAGTATTCGGATGATAAATAGACTGGCGTCAAACCCCTGCTGACAGATGTCCGTATTTGACTGGGGACCACAAATGCGACTTTTATACACGCAAATAACTTTAACGGTCTGGCTATTTGGCGGGATCGAAAGTCTCAAGAAGACCTTCATGGTACCACTTACGTCCAATTAGTGATGCCCATATTGTTCCTTGATTATAAATACATCCGACCAGGATCAATCGCTTACACTCACACTATTGCTTCATTATGTTTGGATAACAGAACACGGGTACACACACACAAACAAATCAACCATTCTTTTCAAAATGTAATAAAAGATCAGGACACAGAACTTTAAATTGTCAATGTCATTTTTTCCATTTTTTTTTTAACTTGTATTACAATTGATTTAATTATTTTTTTTATTTTCAATTATAATAAAAAAAATGCTTTAGTTTACTGTCCTACTTATTTTGTTCTTTTTGTTATTTATAATTTATAAGTATTTTCTTTTTTCATCGATATTTTCATATATTTGAAAGTACATTTTGTTATTCTTTTAATTGTTATTTTCATATTTTTAACTTTTTTAATTGTCGATATTTTCATACATTTGAAAGTTAACTTTCTTAAAAAAAAATAAGTAAAATCTAAACTTGAAAGTTAAAAGTTAACTTTACTTTAAATCAAAAAAAGAAAAAAACGCTATTAATTTCGTTGAGGGAGTAATTAGGCCAAAATTGTATAAGTGCTTGAAATGGTTCAGCAGTGAATGTCTCTCAATAAGGCCGTAAAAGTATGATAAGAAGAGCGAGAATAAGTCCAATTATTTCTGGTCATTAACATCCAAAAAGGTAGGTTTCTTCAATATCTAATTGTTGATTTGAGTTAAGAATATACATTTGCACGGAAATAAGACTTTTTTTGGAAAAATTTGAAGGGATATTAGCGCTCGGGTGTTACAATATACATTTACCAAATTATTAAGTGGAAGGGTAACAAAAGAAATTTACCAGAATTTTCTAAAAAAAAAAAAAATTTAAAAAAAAATAACATTTTTTCTTTTTTAAATAGTTTGCATGGAGGTATCAACTTAAGAAAAACAATTTTTATTTGAAATTTCCTGAAAATGCTTTTATTTTAGATATTTTTTTTTATCATTTGGTGGAGGTACCTCTAATCTTTTGGCTTTCAATGAAATCTTCATGAAAGATTTTTCATTTTAAACCTCATGTATACCAAATTGGTGGAGGTATGTATTTTTAAGTAAAAGATAAATCTGTTTTTAAAGCTCTAATATTTTAAAGAAATACATGAATTACATAGAAACAAATTTAAGTTTCATAAAAAGAATGTTTACTTTAAGTCTTGGCTTGAAAAGATTTATTTTTGTTTACATTATATGCTCCATAAACAAAAATAATTTTTTTTCAATAACCGAGACTAAAAAAGGATTTTATGGATTAAAACTATTATAAAAACATTATTGTAATTTAACTACCTTACCATGAGGACAATTTGTGACACAAGGTCAATTTTTTATGCAAAGAAATCAAGTGTGACATTGGTATGAATTTCATGCAATCATTTTTTTTCTTTTATAAATTAAAAAAATATAATAAAAATTGTCTTTAAAAGAGTTCATCAGAACACCAATGTGAATTAATTTTGTGTTTATATTATGTAATTTTGGTTATAATTTATTAAATTAACAATTTATAATAAATAGGTGAATTAACAAGGCTTAAAAAGAAAATAAAAACTTTTATTTTGAAATGAAAGACTTTAATTTAGTGAACTTTATGGAATGTCTGAGAACTAAGTAGAAACTAGAAGTTTTTTTTTTTTTAATACCAGTAAAATAAATTTACAATCATTGCCAACAAATTTGATGTAATGAGAGGAAAAAAATTTATTAAAGAATGCAATAATGAAATAAAATTTATTTACTTGAAAAAATTATAATGGTTAATAATTTTGTGTAGCAAAAAATAAAATAAAAATCAATGTTCCTCTAGAAAATAGCAATATGTATGCACAAAGACTGATGCAAAAATGATTTAACTTGAATTCATGTCATCCCTTTCAAATAAACACAATACTTTTATATCTGATGGTAAAATAAAAAAAATTCTTTCAGTTTCCAAAATTGTTTATTTCCAATGTCTCCCACCCCCCACTTCTGTGTGTGTGTGTTAGAAATACAGTTACTAATATGTGGGAATTTATAGAAGGGAGGGTTTTAATTTTGTAATTCCTTTGTTTTAATGACTTTTATATAATTGGAAGTAGCAAGAAATAATAGACCCCACAAATTCAGTTTATTAATTTTAACTTTTGCATGTTAATAGTTTGAAAATGTCTCTTACAAAGAAGCAAAATTATTGAGGTTCAGAAAATTATGAAAATTTTACTCTTATTGATGGTTGAAACATAATGAGATAATCTTTTGTGGCAGGATGATGGATAATTTGATAATCTTGTCACATTTTGAGAGTTAACTGAAATACCTTTTAGTGTTCAGGAATGCAGTCATGTGTCAGTTTGTATAATTTAATTACTATGTATTCACTAACTAGATCTTTGTTTGCTATTATTATTTTCTACTGACAATGACAAGTGGATTAATTAGTCTGGCACAAGCCCTCGATCATGGGGACACTAACTAATGATTGAAGTGGATACACAAGTGATAAGCCAGACTAATCTTTAGAGTGAATATAATAGAATTTTAAATTAAAATTTTGTATTGTCCCTAAAAATTAACCAATCATCCCAAACTAATGTTCTAATATTAATTTTGAGCACTGGCTTGATTAGAATTCCTAACCTAATTTTATGGTCTATTATCTTTCCCTGCATTAAAAGTTAGGATGCAGAAGCATTTGTAATTTGTGGCTTAGATTTCTTCATTTTTTTTTTTCTTTTCTTCATTTTTTTCTTTTCTTCTTTTTTTCATTTTTTCTTTTTTTTTCAATTTTTTCTTTTTTTTTTTTTTTTTTTTTTTTTTCTCTTTTTTTTTTTTTTTTCATTTTTTCATTTTTTTTTTTTTTTTTTTTTTTTTTTTTTCATTTTTTTTTTTTTTTCATTTTTTCTTTTTTTTTTTTTTTCTTTTTTTTTTTTTTTTTTTTTTTTTCATTTTTTTTCTTTTTTTTTTTTTTTTTTTTTTTTTTTTTTTTTTTCTTTTTTTTTCTTTTTTTTCATTTTTTTCTCTTTTTTCATTTTTTTTCTCTTTTTTTTCATTTTTTCTTTTTTTCATTTTTTTCTTTTCATTTTTTCCTTTTTTTTCTTTTTTTTCTTTTTTTCATTTTTTTTTTTTTCATTTTTTTTTTTTTTTTTTTTTTTCATTTTTTCTTTTTCATTTTTTTCTCTTTTTCATTTTTTTCTCTTTTTCATTTTTTTCTCTTTTTCATTTTTTTCTCTTTTTCATTTTTTCTCTTTTTCATTTTTTCTCTTTTCATTTTTTTTCATCTTTTTTTCATTTTTTTTTTTCATTTTTTTCTCTTTTTTTCATTTTTTTCTCTTTTTTCATTTTTTTCTCTTTTTTTTTTTTTTTTTTTTTTTTTTTTTTCTCTTTTTTTCATTTTTTTTTCTTTTTTTCATTTTTTTTTTTTTTTTTTCATTTTTTTTCATTTTTTTTTTTTTTTTTTTTTTTTTTTTTTTTTTTTTTTTTTTTCATTTTTTTTTTTTTTTTTTTCTTTTTTTCCAGTTTTTTTCTTTTTTTTCTTTTTTTTTTTTCCAGTTCTTTTTTTTTTCAGTTTTTTTCTTTTTTTCATTTTTTCTCTTTTTCCAGTTTTTTTTTTTCCAGTTTTTTTCTTTTCCAGTTCTTTTTTTTTTCCAGTTTTTTTCTTTTCCAGTTCTTTTTTTTTTCAGTTTTTTCTTTTTTTTTTTTTTTTTTTCAGTTCTTTTTTTTTTCCAGTTTTTTCTTTTCCAGTTTTTTTTTTTTTTTTTTCTTTTTTTTTCCAGTTTTTTTTTTTTTCAGTTTTTTTCTTTTCCAGTTCTTTTTTTTTCCAGTTTTTTCTTTTCCAGTTCTTTTCTTTTCCAGTTCTTTTCTTTTCCAGTTCTTTTCTCTTCCAGTTCTTTTCTTTTCCAGTTCTTTTCTTTTCCAGTTCTTTTCTTTTCCAGTTCTTTTCTTTTCCAGTTCTTTTCTTTTCCAGTTCTTTTCTTTTCCAGTTCTTTTCTTTTCCAGTTCTTTTCTTTTCCAGTTCTTTTCTTTTCCAGTTCTTTTCTTTTCCAGTTCTTTTCTTTTCCAGTTCTTTTCTTTTAATATACATGCCAATGACTTATTTGGGGGACCAATATTAACTGAATTATTTCCCTGTTGTATTAAAAATTGCTTGTGTATTGTTAAGACACAAGTCCAATCCTTGAGATTTGAAATTGAATGTAGGAGTGTTCTGCATTCTCTTTTTGAGAGACAAAAGCACTCTGTATACAAAATGGGCTTTTATCACTGTTGGCATATGTTAACCTCAGTGTTTGTCCATTGCGGGAAAAACTTTAAAGATTTTTTTATAAACTTTATGTAAGCTCAAATTGAATTTAAAACAAAAAAATTATCATGAACTTTCTCTCCCCTGCCCGTTATAGTAATATTTGACAGTAGTGTAATTGTCATGCAGCTGCCTGCCATAAAAATGTCAAACTGTTTTTAATTCAAAATGGTAGCATTTGGTCTTTTTTTGTGATGGGGCAGATTAGTTAAAAAAAAAAACCCAAAAAACTTTGTCTATAAAGGGGTTTTAAAGTATAAGGAATGAAAGTAACTCTATTAAACATTTTCATAGACAATCTGTATTTGATTCTGAAACGAGAAAGAATTGATATTTACAAGATGGTGTAAATGTCAAAATCTTCACAAAATTAACTGTAACATAGTACGCTGTTATTATGGTGACTAAGATGGATGCTTGAGGCTCTTGTGATATTCAAAGACCTTAATTTAATATTGTTGGGTAACTTCACTTTTAAACTTAAAACTAATACCTTTTAGTCTGAATATGAAAATTTATGTAAAAACATTTGTGTGTAACTCATTGAACACATGGAACCAGTTTATTGGTACAATGCACTTTTGTATAACAACTGTAGGTTTGATAGTCTGTAGAAGAGCTTGAATCATAATATACAATGTCATACTACTCCCTACTCTTTAGAAATGGGGTAAATCTAATGGCTTCATCTTTTGTTTACACATACTTGTAATTAAATTTAAAACATTTTTATGTCTGCACAAAGAGGGATCAAGATGCCAATCAAATTTTGTCAGATATTGCCACCATTATTTTTGTGTAAACAAAAAAAAAATCCTCACATGTAAGGCTTATTTTTAATTTCTGATTTCAATATTTTCAAAGATCAGCAAAAGCAATTAAGCAATTCCTTAGTAAATAAAATTTAAGTTTAACTTGCACCTTTTCTCAATTATAATTTTGTCTTAAATTTCTTACTGCACATAAAATGAGCATTATCTGCAGACTTGTTTAATAAATATTAATTCACATTTTAGCAATGATTAATTGAAAAATTCAAGTTTTAGCATTAGATAAAGTTACACAAAACCTGTTTTAAGTCTGTTATTCATTTGTCTTATTTGAAATATTATGAGATCTGTAATACATTTATTTAACTGATTTTCTCTCTCTTTTTCAGTTAATCATGGGAGATTATCATTTTTCAACATTCTCTGAAATTTTAGAACGGGTCCACAACTTGGGATGCGGCCTCCTTAAACTTGGGCAGAAACCTCGAGACAGAGTTCTCATATTTTCTGAAACTCGAGCAGAATGGATGTTGATTGCACAGATGTCCCTAACTTACAACTTTCCCTGTAAGTTATTCTTTTCAATCTATTAAATGATGCTATGAATATTTCAGGTTATGTCACTTAAACTGAAAAAATATGATCCATATTTTGACCCTCCTCATTTAATTTTGCTGTATATCTTAATGTACAGCTATTTTAAGATCTTTGTAGAAAGGGGGATAAAAAGCATGAATCAAATGAAAACTTGATGCAAATAACCTACAACAGACTAAATTCAGATTAATCATCCTATGGTTGTAGGATTACTATCTGTTCCTGAATGAATGTGGCTTTGCTTCTTTCTTATTTTGCCTGTTTAGGCTGGTTTTCCCAAATAAATAGGGTTCTTTATCTTTGGTTTCCCACTAATCAAATGATCTCTGTTCTGCCATGTCAGTGGTTCTTGCACTTATGTTTTCATTATTGGGTACATATACCTTTTTATCAAATGCTTGGTAAGGAGAGAAATCATAAGTGATCAATTATTATAATTGAAACTTTACCTCAAATTGTTAAAATCAATTATATTGCAGTTAATCGATGAATTGATGACTAAATCATGACAAATTATATTGGTTATCTAACTTTGGTAAAGTTAAGTAGTCTTTCTTTTATCTTTTTTTCTCCAACTGACCCCCAACTTTTATATTTCTCCTATTACCGTACATAAAAAAAATGTCAGATCTCTATTTTTTTTTTTTTTTTTTTTTTTTTTTATAGTGATCACCCTTTATTCCACTTTAGGAGAAAAAGCCATCATTCATGGTATAAATGAATCTGAAGTCAATTTGGTATTTACTAGTGCTAGTTTAATGCCTAAACTCAAGGTAAGTACATTTTTCTTAATGTTTGTTTATAATATTGTTTAATTTTTATATTAATATGAAGACCCTGATGTTTGTAAAAGATTAAAACTTGTTTTACTTCTGGTGGCAATCCCTTTTTACTAAGTGGATTTGATATTTTTCTTTCTTAAATATAATAAAAAAAAGAAAAAAAAAAGACTTGTCCTATAAAGTTATAGTTTTTAAGATCTGCTTATATCAAGAAATGCATTTTTGTTTTCGACAGCAAGAAATTAAAATATTTGAAATATACACTAAATTTTATATTAGTATTATTTTTAATTTTATTTTTGACTGTCAGGAATTGTCTAAAATAAAAGAAAGTAGGAGTTTTTTTTTTCTTGCATAGTAATATCAGTTAGCTTCAGTACAAGACAATTTCTTTTTCTGTCTTATTGCTATCAGAATATTTGTTTGAAAGGTTTTCATGTGATAATTTTATGAGTTTTTAATGTAACATTTTCACTTTGACTTTAAAGAAACTACTCTTGGAGCCCTGGGTTTGAGTTATTCATTTATAAGGACAATTTGCTGGCAGTGATGGAATTTTTTTTCTTTTTGTGTTTGGGGAAAGTAGTATGAAAACCTAAATTTATTGTGGAATAAATTCTATACACTTGCATAATACCCTAAAGTAATGATACAGTTATTTATAAATGTGTTAAGATTAGTGTAGTATCTGTATATACTGTGATAAGTGTTATATATGAGAGAGAAACATAATGCATTTTTATATATGTGGATATTATCAGCAAGACTTGTTTTAATGAGTAACAATTTTTTATTTTTTTTTTTTTTGATTTTCATTACCAACATAGTTTAAGGACTAAAACCTGCACAAATAAATTTTATTTTAAAAAAAGATAAAGAAAAAAAGAATTTCAGTGAATAATAAAATCATCTTTTTACGGTATTTAATACAGCTTCTATTACTGTAATAAAATTTTGTACTGTCTGCAAAAATATTTCAATATGTATGGACCAGGTACACTGTGAATTCAACTTGTATGTTAACATTTTTAAACTCTGGGATAAGATTCAGACTGCTTGTTCTAAAAGGCTTTTTTTTTTTTTTTTTTTTTTTTTTTTTTTTAAGTGTTTGGAGACTCAAATGTCTCCTATGTATATTAATTTTTGCATTACTAGGGTGAAGCTATATATCCTTGGCCATCCCAATATGTCTATGGATCTGTGTCACACTTATGTTCCTCTGTCAGAATACTTCCCAGATACTTAAACTTCTGCACCTGCTTGATTTTAGTGTCCCTGACCTGCAAATCATATTTTGGGCTCATTCTGTTTTCTTGCAGTTTATGCTTAGTCCCTTCTTGCTCTCCTTTGCTACCTTCTGTAGGTTTTGTAATTTCTTTTTTGTGTTTGCTATCAGTACCGTGTCATCTGTGTAACTTATGTTGTTAAGACTGTGCCTGCCAATGCTGAATCTGGTAGGATTTCCAATTCTCTCATAATTGCCTCACTGTATAGGTTGAATAGGTCCAGTAAGAAGATGCATCCTTGCCTTACGCCCCTTTCTATTTTTGTATATTTGCTGAACTTGTTCTCTATATGAATGCATGCCGTTTGCTGCCAGTATAGGTTCTTGATTATTCTAATATCTTTTCTGCACATATCAAGGTTGCTGAGCAGTTCCAACAGATCCAGAAAATCCTCGGAAATGCCTGCAAATCTGTACGATGTGCAAACTCCAGTTTGCTAGCAGTAAAAGGAACCAAAATGGCGGTGCCCATGTTTTATGCCAGGCGGTCTCGTTTAGTTAACGCGAAATCTTGTTGACTCGTCATTCACATGCAAATCGTGGTCGGTCCTCGGCTGTATAAAGCAGGTGCGTTTTGTTTCAGATCAGAGCGCTTTTGGCTCGTGAGAAGGTTGGACGTGTGACACTGGTTTTGTCGGTTACCCTCCTCACGGTTTTTTGTTCCTACCTGCTATTATCAGTTGACTTGTTGTGTTACCCCAACAAGCTATTTCGACTATGGACAAGTTCGATCTAAAATTGATCCCAGAATTCGACGGCTCCCCCATGGTCCTGAGTGTCGTCGAATGGTTTGAAAAGGCCGAACGTGTTTGCAGGGTGTCCAGAATAATCAACATATATCAACAACTCTGGGACGATGCTGACCTAGAAGAGATCAAGGGTGCCCTATATACGGCCTTTGGAATAGACCCCTTCATCGCTTGGAAACAGTTCGTAGGACGACGGCTTGAGCCGGGTGAGACCATGGATGTCTACCTGGCTGATTTGCGAAGGCTGGCAGTACCGTTTGGCGGAGCAACGGACCACATACTGGGATGCGCCTTCCTGGCAGGACTTCCCAAAAACACCAGTTGGCTCCTGTGAGCATCTTCAAGATTGGGCACACTGGGAATTGACGAATTGCTAGCCAGGGCCCGAAACATCTTGAAAGACACGGAACAGGTTACGGCAGCCGTGAGAACGCCCGAGACACCGCGG